GTCCTTTTCCCGCCTTCTCCGGGGCATGGCGTCTGCTGAAGCCGGTGGCGAGACACGCTGTCAGGTTGCTAGTCTCAAGTTTGTAGAAGGATGGCTCAAAGTCTTCCCCTAAAACACCAACCAGATTCTCACATTACAAGGGAAGTTGTGTCAAAAGTTTTCATGACCATAATGTGGAATATAAATGATCATGTGCAAGTGGCTCCCCTCACTCCTTTTAAAATCAAGGCAGTCAAAGGACTTTGTCAAAGCAGAAATTGAGTCGTATGAGATAGGTGCACTCCAAGTGCATTAATTTAGCTGCTCGCTCTCCCCTTGCGGATGAGATATTCGGTTGGGCATTTGAGGGCCAGGCATTTGACGTGGGTAATTGGAGAGCACCTTGCAACTCTGTTCGAGCATCCATGGGGACCAAAATCATGAACGGCTATTTTTTTTTTCCAGTGTTTGGTTTCTATTTTTAGCTGAGCACTAAATGAATTTGAAAATAAAACAACCATTTAGATTTTTTTTCCAGTGATCCATTATGGGTTATGGTGTTTACTTGTAGTTTTGAGGAAACTTGCTGGTTCCTGACATGTCTAATATGCAACAATAGCTTTCATATTATGTTCGTGACAGAGTTTGTGAAATATTCACACAAAGCATGTCAACATGTAGAAAACAAATCCCCAAATTTCATTTAATTGAGCCGCCAAATCGACTTTGCCATGTTTCCACTCACCAGGGTCAACACTCAACCTGGTTCCACATCCAAACATCGAGTACACATTCAGACAATGTGAGGCTCAAACAAAACCAAAAAAAATATGAACTAGCAAATTTTCTGTTTCAGATTTGAATTCAAACAAAAATAATTAGTTCTCTGCCCAAAAAAAAAAAAATTCCACTTACAGGTTTCAACCGTCAATCTGGTTCCACCTCCAAAAAGTAACCTGTTCCATCCTGTCACACATTAGTTACTTCCTTAACAAGAACCTCCTGAGCTCTGTTATGAAGCTGAAAGCTCAATAGCCTTCGCGGTTTTAAAAAAATGGACACAAAAACTGCATTTTATCTTGTTTTATCTCATCTTGATGAGGTAGTGACACAATTTGGGTTGCAATACATCAAAGTCAAACTTACGAGTCTCCACAGTCAGTCTGGTACCGCTTCCAAAAAGTACTCTCCAGTTTCCTGACACACATCAGTTGGTCCCATAACAAAAACCTGAAGTGAAACTTTGACAAGAGCACAATCGGAATCCTTATGGGGCTGAGGTGGTCTTATGGTCATTTTCCAGCCTGAAGGTCGTGGGTACAATCCTGAGTCCGAGTGACCATGCTCAAGCGTCCTTGAGCAAAATACCAAAGTCCCAACTTAGTCCTGATGCTGATGAGGATTGTTCAAGTGCTTTAAGTGCCTTCAAAAGCACGATACAAGCAAAATCCCATTTGTTATTTACCTTCATTTTTCCACGCACGAATAAAATGTATTGTCAGCGTACCAATTATCTGCTCGTTCCAGCTGCATGTCAAGGAAAATTTACCAGTTGCGACACTCAAACTAGTTTCACAACAGCGGTCCGCCTCTTCACAGCGGCATCCCTCAGGGCAAGGTTACTCGTCCACTTGACAGCTACGTCATCCATGTCGACTGGACATCCTCCTCCAAGTGTCGGTGATGTCTTGAAACATGTTATTTGCATCAAAAAAGCTGGGTAAATTTTTCATCGTGTTGCCATGGCACTTGAGGCAATAAAAGGAAGATTCGCGGCAGAAGCAAGCATCTGCATATTTCCCTGATAAATTGAGTGGAGAAAGAAAAACAAGTGCTCACAGATAATTCTGTCAAAACAAGAGGTGGAAAACGCAAGCTACCGTATATATTAAGATCATCCTGATTTCCACTGTCATGCTTGTCCCGCCCCCAAAGGCAATCTTGAAGCCTGTAGCAGCCTTCTTGCAACAACATCCACTGTGACACAAATCTGCAATCACATTGGCCACGCCCACCACCTCTGGCTTCACGATGCTGGCATCATGTTGCATATCTTCCAAGTTCCGCTCAAAAGTCATTCACATCCATTTTAATGTTACCAGGTGGTCCGAAGTAATGGTACATACTACAGGAAAATGATACAGAATCCGACATTAACGGTGGCCCAATTGCCTTATGGCCCTGGATCAGTACGCCACTGTTGTCAGGCCACCACCAACATTCTCGATGCAGGCTCCGTAGTGCAGTACACATTTCATCAATATGAAACTGAAATTCTTGCTTTTAAACAAAATAATGTACAATTTAAACATTGAGTTTTTAGTAGTCAGGGGAGGCAATCAAACTGTCTTGAAAGCAAAGGATCTTTTGGGCTCTCCTCAGTCAAAATCTGTCATGTTTGAGGTTCACAGAGAATTTTCAGTGATCAGTGTTCAAAAGTAGGTGGCCACAATAAACAACCAAAACATACTATGCTGGGTACATGCTAAATTATTTTCCACAACAATACTGTATGTATTGGCTTGAACAAGAAATAAGCTCATAAAAGATATTTTTTATCCGGATATGTACTTTAATCAGTTTCACACCAAGCTAACTTATTAGCACTATTTGCTTGCCTGGCCACAAGGAGCCAGAAAAAACAATTCAGAAAACAAAAAGCGCTTGCGAAGGCAAGGTCCAAGAGAACACCGGGAATACACAAACGAAATATCTGAAGTCCAATAACGTGAAACCAAATATCAAGATCGAGATTAAAAAAAACATTGAAAACGAGAGCGACCATGAACGGACCGAACAGTCACACGTTTTCTGCTTTCCGTCTCGCCGAGTGGCAGCTCGCCACATGCCGGAAGGTCGGCGAGTATCGACAGGAAGTGACAGGAAGCAGGTGCACCTGCATATCGAGATGATTATGCTCATATTTACTTTAATATTAATTGTAAATTAGTCTGATTAAAATCAAGACAAATATGA